AAAAAAGTGTGTATCTAGAGGAGTGAGGGTGAGTGGCATGCAAGTAGGTGGCCTGGTGGCACTGGCATTAAAACACTCTGATGATAACCAATAAGTTGGAGGTTAAAACTCCCCCTCCGGCTCCTTAGGAGACAGAGGTGGCCGTCTTCTCAGGAAAGATTGACAGCCCCGTGGTGGGTCAGGGTAAACCCAGTGGCAGCGGGTCCAGTTAGATCTACAAGCAATGTGTGAACATCAGCAGTGCCCAAACCTAAGAGGGGTCCCTGAGAGGGGCGGCTAAGCGCCTCGCTGCTAAGAGAGTGGCTGGCAGTTTGAGCCGGCCCATTCAAAAACCAAATGCCAACTCTTACTCACAAGGGACTTTCCTGAGGCAGGACGAACACAGACAACCTGACGTGAAAACCGGGTGAACCGAAAGAGGAAATACAAACGGCTGACAGGTATAGTAAAAATCGATCGACGAAATGAAAATGAAGGCAGCCATGAAAACCAGGAGGTCGTTAAAAGGAAATATTTTGCTTATCAGATTGGCCCCCCCACCCCAAAAAAAATATTGCTACTTGAAAAGAAATGTGTGTTTTCGTACACCGGTTGGAAACGTTAACGCAGTTCGCCTCTCCGGGGAGCCATCTGCTACTCAGCCAGGACCCTTTAAGAAAAGCCCACCTGCTTTGTGCCAGGAGCCCCCCTGAGCTCTCCCTGGTTTGATGGTTTGCTAGGGGCACTCACAGGCCTCAGCGGAGGTGGACGGTCCCCATGGTTACAAATGAGGGCAGCAAAAGGGAGTTGCTTTAAGTCCATCTCTGACTCAAAGGGACACCATGTGCCAGAGAAGAATGGCTCCACAGGGCTGCCTCCCGGGCTACATGGGTTCAAGTCAGCAACCTTTCAGTTAGCAGCCAGGAGCAAGAAACACTGCAAAAGCAGCACAGAGGGGAAGCTGGGTGGGACAAGTGCAAGCTTCCAAGTCCTCTCCCACACAGGACACATGTCATTTCCCCTGCAACAAGCTGGAGCAACATGTGTGAAGGTGGATACAATGGAGGGGTGGTGGTGTAGGAAGGACACTGGAGTCCCCATGTAGCACACAGTGTTAAGCACGCAACTGCTAAGTGAAAGGTTGGCAATTCAAATTCACAGGTGCCTAAGAATTGCTTCTGGTTCACAGCCATGAGCACCCAATGGACAAGTCTACTCTGTAAACTCGGCCTTGCTATGAGCTGGATGGACGCCGTGGTAACTGGTTTGGATTTTTTGTTGTTGTTAATATCTGCCGGTGTCCTGTGGGCATGCTCTGCCTAGCAGGGCACAAAGCAGGAGGGCAGCAGGTGCTCAAGACAAGCCACGTTTTGGGGGCTAACGGTTTGGGCATGGCAAGCCGCTCGGATCCATGACGGCGCTGTGTCCTCCCAGACACCAGCCAGTGGCCAGCCTGGTCAGCAGGTCTCTTTTAGGAACAGCAGACTTAGGCCTGCTATGCTAAGTCACTGAACCAGTTATTGAGTTGAGGAGCAT